AACTTTCGGGCCTCTTTGCAATGACTTTCGTAAAACCACATTTATGTCACCACAATAGCCAATCAGAAAAAAGGAACATACTACAAGAAGCCAATGAGAACTCAGTCAGTACACGTCACTGGCCTAAAGCGCGGGAAAATTGGTTGAGAGGATGGTTTGGGCTTCCCTCAGCCAATGAGGACTCAAAGTCAGTTCAAGCCACCGGCATAAAGCACGGGAAAATGGAAAGAAACCCATCGCCACTGGTTTCAATTTTTGGATGTGATCAGTTGAGAGGATGGCGCGGGCATCCCTGACCCAATCATAAAGCAAAGTTGAGACAAACCAATGAAAATTGAAAATTACTCGAAAAATAAAATCTGTTTGGATATTCTGCACGAGTTGCATAAATGGCCAAAAACTTAACTACCAGTTACAGTCATTTCTACAATAATTTTTCTTTTTTGTAAACAGGGACATTTTTTAGAGAGACATTTGTCTCTTAATACATTAACAATCTTTCTTTGGAACGAGTAACTAATACTTAAAGTCATGTTTTTTTACTCTTTCGCAAAAAGCTTTGAACAATTTACACAAAATTAATTTTCAGTTTATCAATTTTTAACTTTTTCTTAACAAAAGTGTATACAATGTATCGATGCCATCTGTATTAACTTTAACTATATTATAAAAGTTTGGTTAAAAACAATCAAAGCTTGTCATCACAAAAGTTATCGACACTGAATTGCAAGAATAACTTCCCAAGAAAAAATTTAACAGGAAGGCAAGTACTTTTTCGGTAATAACTGCATGACACTCACACCTTACTTCAGCAGTCGCTTGGGCAAAAAAAAAGTACTAATGTTATGTTGTATTAACTTAACTTATTCATTCAAAATACCTGAATTTGTAAACATTGCCTTTATAAAAAATGGGCACTTTTACTCTTCCTCCCATGCAATTTAATTAACAGATTTCCTTAATTATTTCTCGAACACCTAAAGCCTGGATCCTAGTCTCTCTCTGGCATCTTTGTCCTTTAACTGAGCTGATAACACTATAGAACTAAGCTGTTTGGGCTACGTAATGAGAGAAGAGTTTGTGACAGTTTCTAGCTACATACTACTTGCTCGCCTTCTCACACCGTTTTTCATTTTCCAAGGAAAGCCATAGACAGGGTTATTTTCGAGGCTTTTTATCTCTGAGGGATGAATCGGCAAATCTTTATCTTCATC